CACGGGTCTGGGGACAGAAGAGGGAGGACCTTGAGAGGCTGCCCATTGTAAAGGATGGCCGCTGCCTCCACATCTACCCCAGTCTGTGCCAGGGATCTGAGGGTTACCGCAGGCAAGACCAGATTCCAGAGTCCTCATGTCCAGGACCCAGGTCCTATAGTTTGCTTTTGTATTTGGTTTTGTTTTGTTGGTTTTTTGAGATGGAGTCTTTCTCTCTCACCTAGGCTGGAGAGCAATGGTGCAATCTCGGCTCACTGCAACCTCTGCTTCCCCGGCTCAAGCGATTCTCCTGACTCAGCCTCCCAAGTAGCTGGGATTACAGGTGCCCGCCACCATGCTTGGCTGATTTTTGTATTTTTAGTAGAGACAGGGTTTCACCATGTTGTCCAGGGTGGTCTCAAGCTCCTGACATCAAGTGATCAGCCAACCTTGGCTTCCCAGAGTGCTGGGATTACAGGCATGATGAGCCACCACGCCCAGCCTGCTGTTTTCAAGACCAGCCCCTGGGAGTCCCGCACGTCTGACACTGAGGCCCCATGGCGGACTGTGTCTAAGTGTCAGGTGTCAAAGATCCCATACCTGAGACCTGGGCCACAGAGGTCCCTACAGCCAAGACCCCGGCCCTAGAGTCCCCCTACCTCTGAGACTGAGGCCCTGCCATTTGCTGTGTGAGACTGAGGTTGTGGAGTCCATGCACCTAAGACCAAGGCTCTGGGCCTGTGTTTACGATGCAGTTTCCATGGGGTCCTTGCTTGAGATTTCAGCCTGTTCTTCTATTTTAAGTTTTATAGGAACCTCACCCTCTTCACTTACATAGTGTACGGGTGCTTTCACGCCACCATGGCAGAGTGAGTAGCTGTGATCGAGAAGGTATAGCCTGCAAGCTTAAACATTTACCATCTAGCCCTTTAGAGAAAAGGTGCACTTGACCCAAGTTGAGATCTGTGCCCCAGGGGTCCTTGTGTCTGCGATGCCTGCCCTGAGAGCATTCATGTCTGAGATCCCAGCACCACAGTTCTCTGTGTTCAAGACCTGGGCCCCAGGCCAGGTGTGGTGGCTCAGGCCTGTAATCCCAGCACTTCAAGAGGCTGAGGTGGGAGGATCGCTTGAGCCCTGGAGTTGGAGACCAGCCTGGGCAGCATAGGAAGACCCCATTTCTACAAAAAAGAAATTAATAAATTAGGCAGGCATGGCGGTGTGTGCCTGCAGTCCCCAGCTATTTGGGAGACTGAGGCGGGAGGATTGCTTGTGCCCAGGAGATGGAGGTTTCAGTGAGTTATGATCGCACTGCATCACTACACTCCAGCCTAGGCGACAGAGTGAGACCTTATCTCAAAAAAAAAAAAAAAAAGGATCTTGGCCTTAAGGTCCCCCATGCCTGAGATCTCAGCCCCCTGGACTTCTCCAGGTCCTGGCGGTCTCTGTGCCCTAGACAAGGGCCCTGGATGATCTTCTGGCAAGAGCCCAGTGCTAGGGGTCTCAGCATGATTTGAAATGTTTTGAGACCCTAACTAGTGAAGTCTCAAAGCAGTCCCTAACTGCCTCCCTCAGTGCAAGACTCCATCCCTGAGGGTTGCTTTATTAAAGACTGCTGAGGCCCTGTCCTGGAGGGCTACTGTGTCCAAGACCCTGTTCCCACGGTTAGTACATCTGTGACCCCAGCTTGTGGAATCCCTGTGTGGGAGAGGCCAGTCTTCTAATGTCTCCTTCCTCTTGTGCGTGTTATCATGTACCACCTCTCAGCTTCAAATACACCCGCGGAGTTAAGCTTTGTCAACAGAGGGCGCTGGGGAGTCACTGCAGCAGGGAGGGGCTCCTGGTCTGGCTTCCAGCCACTTTGGCCCTTCCAGCTCTGGCCAGGGTGTGTGGCCACAGTCAGTGAGTTCCACTGGTCCCAGCTGGCTTCCCAGTGAGGGGTTTCCTTCTTGCCAACTCCAGCCTGCAGAAACCTCTGTGCCACCCAGTGGGCTACAGCTGCAGTGGGACTGGACTCAGCCGTGGGGCTGATTCTCCCCTCCATGAAAAGGAGGGGCCAATTTCTCCCTTCCATGAGGCCTCTACCTTAGCCCTAGAAGTGGGGGCTACTTCCTCTGTCTGCTTTGGTGGTATTCTTTAGCCTTCTCTTTGCTGTTTCTTATTTCTATTTCTTTATTTGTAAAGAGACAAGGTGTTGCTTCCTTGCCCAGGCTGGAGGGCAGTGGTACAATCATAGCTCACTGCAGCCTCGAACTCCTGGGCTCAAGTGGTCCTCCCAACTCAGCCTCCTGAATAGCTGGGACCACAGGTGTATATCACCACACCTGGCTAAGTTTAAATTTTTTGTGGAGACGGGTGTCTCCCTATGTTGCCCAGACTGGTCTTGAACTCCTGGCCTCAAGCGATCTTCCCAAAGTGCTGGGTGTGTGAGCCACCGCACCAGGCCCTCTTTACCCTTTAATAGTTAATCTCCTATTAATAAGTAAATGATTCTTTAATTGAACTTTCCTCATTCAAATGGCTGTGTGCTTTCTGTCTCTCGACTGGATGCTGAGCGATATACTCCCTGTTCCTGGGAGTCCCATTGTCCTGCTCACCACCCTGAGAATCTTAGCCCTACACGTTGGTGCTGGAGCTCCTATCATCTTATCCATGTGGGGAGGAGGGTTCTCTGCTCTTCACCCTAAGAAATGAGCCCTGGGGGTGGCTCTGTGTCCCAGATTTAGTCTGGGGGGGGTTCCCACATCAGAGACTATATCCCTAGAAATCCTGATCTCCCACTTGAGAGGGGTCCCCATATCCAATGTTCTGCCTTGGTGGGGTCTCTGTGCCTCAAACTCAGAACTCTGCTCTCTGTCCCTGTCCCTGGGATCCCAGTCTCTCCCCTGCCCTTTGGTGCTAGTGTCTGAACCCCAAGCCTAATTCCACGCACCAGCGGTCAGCTCACCATGGCCCCCTAGGTTGCTGCTCTTGTATTCTAAAGTCTTATAGCAGCCTCACCTCTTCACTTATATAGTCTACGGCTGCTTTCATGCCACAGTGGCAGAGTGAGTAGTTGGAACCAGACCATACAGCCTGCAAGCTGAAACATTTACCATGTAGCCCGTATCAGCAAAGGCGCGCCTGTCCCTGCCTTATACCGAGGGTCTCTGACATCAACCCTGAGAAACCTCTGTGGGTCCCCACAGCCTGGATTTTCCCTAAGGGTCCCTGCCTCCCACAGTAGGTGGCTCTGGCCCTGTGAAACCCAGCCCAGGGGTCTCCAGGTCTGCGACCTCCATCATTAGTCCTGTGCACCTCCCGCCATGGACACCCCAGTCACATCACCCTCGGCCCCAGAGTCCCTGTACTCCATCCATAGTCACATCAGCCCCAGTCCCAGCCCAGCCCAGCACCTTTGGTGATGCAGCTTAGGACGCCTCCGGAGGGCTGGCACACCTGCCCCGGCTTGCAGCTGTGTTCCTGGCACAGCACACCTTTACCCGCATGGCACGTACACTGCTGCCGACAGTCGTCAATGAGGACTGTCTGCTCCGGCTGTGGGGAGAGAGGGCACGGCCATCAGACATCACGGGTGGGAGCCGACTCTCACATCTCTGGCATTCTGGGCACAGAGGGGTTTGCAGACATCACAGACAAGGGACATCTCTCAGCAGGATGGCCCCCTGTCTGTGAAGCTGAGGTACAGCATGACTTTGGGGCTGTCCTTCATTTGTGTATTTGTTCATTCACTTTTATTCATTAACTCATTCATTCCAAAATATCCACTCAATGTCTGCTGTAGGAGAAACAGTGTGACATAGTAACTAAGGGCAGATCGCCTGGGCTTGAAGCCCGATTCTTCTGTTTCCCAACTGTGTGACTCTGAGCAAGTTACTTCACCTCTTTATGGCTCAGTTTCCTGATTTGCAAATTGCAGATAATAGTAGCACTTGCCTATGGAACTATAACCGAGTTAACAACACATGTAAAGTGCAGATGAAAGGAAAAAGGCTTCCCTTAAATCATTCAGATAGGAGAGATAAGTGGGGTAGACATGAAACAAGATTGGGAGGATGTGGCTTTTTTTTTAAGCTAAGTGATGGGTAAGTACATGGACAGTCATTCCACTGTTCTCTTACTTTTTGCATGTTTGAAAATTTTCAGAATAAAAAATTTTTAGATATGTAATGTGTATGTAAAATAGGCACACATAGTACTTAAAACATTACCAGCTACATAGTAAGCACTATCTACATATTTTCTGTTATTATTACTATTACTCATGTGAAGAGAACAACAGAGAGAGGGTCCCACCCCTCGGGCAGCTCACAGTCCTGCAAGGGAGTCGGGCATTAGACAAATACGTGCTCCAGTCAAAGAAGAAGGACCAACAGGGAGACAGTGGGAGAGGGAAGCAGAGCGTGTTAGCAGCTGGTATAACAGATGAAAATCTGGTCTTTGTGGTCAGAAAGGCTCCCTTCATCCAGACCTGGAAGGCAAAGCCACAAGTTGACCTGGGGAGTCAGGGAAGGGTTTAAAGCTTTGGAGCCTATGATCATATTTAGGAAGATCTTTACCACTGCCATGTGGAGGGTGGACCAGAGGGAGCAAAGGTAGGAGCTGGGAGGGACCCAGGTGGGAGAGGACCAGCTAGACCACAGGAGGACCATGGGGACGGGGAAAGGAGTGGGTACAAGAGACATTCAAGAGGCTGAGTAGACTAGCTGCAGTGGCTCACACCTGTAATCCCTGCAGTTTGGGAGGCCAAGGCGGGAGGATCACTTGAAGTCAGTAGTTCGAGACCAGCCTGGCCAATATGGCAGAATCCCATCTCTACCAAATTAACTGTGTGTGGTGGCCCATGCCTGTAGTCCCAGCTTCTTGGGAGGCTGAGGCAGGAGAATTACTTGAACCTGGGAGGCTGAGGTTGCAGTGAGCTTGAACCCAGGAGGCGGAGGTTGCACTCCAGCCTGGACGACAGAGTAAGACTCAGTCTCAAAAAAACCCAAAAAACAGAGAGAGAGGCTGAGTCACCCAGGCATGGTGGCTCATGCCATTAATCCCAACACTTGGGGAGGGCAAGGTGGGAAGATGGCTTGAGGCCTGGAGTTCAAGACCAGCCTGAGCAACATAGTGAGATGCCCCCATATCTATGTCTCCACAAGAAAATTAAAAACTTGCTGGGCTTGGTGGTGCATGCCTGTAGTCCCAAATACTTGGGAGGTGAGGTGAAGGATTGCTTGAGCCAAGGAACTCAGGGCTGCAGTAAGCTATGACCGTACCACTGCACTCCAGCCTGGGTGACAGAGTGAGACCCTGACTCTAAAAGAAATAAATAAGAGACCAAGTAGACCAAGTAGGCTGTGGGGCTGATGAGGAGTGGGAGGGGTGAGGCCCCATATTCTGCCCCAGATGACTAGGTTCCTACCTCATAGTAGACACCATTGTGGTAGCAGCCGCACTGCTGGATGGGCACGCAGGCTTCACCGTTGTAGAGGAAGCCGGCGTCACACTGGCAGCCTTCAGCACACTCATCTGGGCACTGCAGAGGGGCACTGAGAGCCGCGCAGCCCAGGGAGCAGGTGTCCGCGCAGAGCTTGTAGTGGCTGTTCGCTGGGCACTTTATGGCTGCAAGGAGGGGGTGCCCATCAGAGCCCTGGGGAGGGAGGGGCTGCAAGGCCCAGGGTCTACCCTTCTGTGCTTTAACCTCTCCCCTCCCTGCCCCTCTGGCTCTCCCTCACTCACGACAGAAAGTTTCCGTCCTCCAGGGCTTCACGTGGCCTCCAGCCGCCTGGCAAGCACTCACATAGGCATGGATGTTGCTGCAGAGAATGCTCAGGTTCCCACCACCCAGGCAGAGATCAAAGATGCAATCTTGCAAGGGACCCTGGGGATCCACCAGCTTGTGGCAGGAGGCCAGCGGCCCTGTGGGGCTGGAGAGGAGCCCACAGAACTCCTCCTTCTGATACTTCTTCTCCTGCTCGGGAGGACACTTGCTGGTGTCGCAGCCCTCGCTCCCTGGCGGGCAGGTGGGTGGTGGCAGGCAGGGAGAGCCAGGTACTGCCTCCTCCCAGGAGTTGCCAAAGTCATTGGCGTTGCCTGCCTGCGAGCCGTTGGGCTTCTGGAAGTCATCCTTGGGGTCGCCGTTGTAGTTCCCACACAGGCCACACATCTGCTGGTAGTAGTTTCCGGGGATGGTGACCCGCACATAGTACACAAGGTCGTAGGCCACACGCAGGCCGAAGTCGGTCTCAATCACAACGTCTGAACCATGCTGGGAGGCTCGGATCTGGCCATTGGCCAGCACCACGGGCAGCTTCATGTCCACACCGTTCACCTGGGAGGCGAGAGAGGCAGGCCACGCTTCAGAAAATAAACTTTGAGTGGAGGTCGGACCCTAGTTCAAGCCCATGCCTGATGCTGAAGATCTGTGTGTCCTCACCACTTAGGTCTTCACTTTTTGTATCTCTAAAACTGGTAGAATAATAGGGCCTCACAGTGGATTGAATGGTGGTCCATAAAATGCATATTCACCCAGAATCCCATAATGTGAGCTTACTTGGAATAAAGTTCTTTGCAGATGGATTCAGGGAAATAACGTCAACATGAGATTGTCCTGGATTAAGCTGGGCCCTAAATCCAATGACAAGTGTCCTTATAAGAGCCAGAGAGAAAAAGACACAGAGACACACAGAAAGGGTCACATGAAGATGAAGGCACAGATTAGAATGGTGTTGTCACAAGCCCAGAGAACCTGGAGCCTCCAGAGCTGGAAAGATCCCCCAACCAGTGCCTTTGGAGGCGGCGCAGCTCTGCCGACACCCTGATGTTGAACTTCTGGCATCCAGGACTGTGGGAAAGTACATTGTATTGTTTTAAGCCACCAAGCTCGTGATAATTTGTTATGGCACCATGGGAAATGAACACAGGTCTCAATGAAGTAATAAGCCTCCAGCTATCCTTTATGTATCACTCGATGCAGGCATTAATAAGCAATGATCGTCCCCAGAGCCACTTGCCTGAGTTCAAACAGTTTCCCCCTTACCGTCTTTATGACCTAGGGCAAGTGAGTCACCTCTCCCTGTTTCTGTTTCCTCATCTCTCAGGTGGGAATAAGGTGTTTGCCCCATGGAACTGTTGTCAGGATCAGATAAATTAATGTCTGTAAAGTGTTGAGAAACAGGCTGGCATAGCATGCATGCTTCAGGAGCATCTGCCGTCACTAGCAGCTATGAATGGAGGTTTTTCTTTTGAAGAGTAAACGGTCACCACAGGTTTTTGCTTTAAAGCATCAGCGGGTGGAAAGTTAGACTAAATTCTTGGGGAAATGAACTCAAACCTATGAGCTGAGGACCAGTGGTTTCAGTTTAAGATTACTAGGCACCAACAAAGCCTCATAAATCCACCCCTGGATGGGGCACAGTGGCTCGTGTCTATAATCTCAGCACTTTGAGAGGTCAAGGTGGGAAGATCACTTGAGCCCAGGAGTTCAAGGTCAGCCTCAGTAAAATATGGAGATCTTGTCTCCACAAAATAAAAAAAATAAAAAAAAATTGGTCAGGAGCAGTGGTTCACAGCTGTAATTCCAGCACTTTGGGAGGCCAAGGTGGGAGGGTCTCCTGAGCCCAGGAGTTCGAGACCAGCCTGGGCAACATAGCAAGACCCCTCTCTATACAAAAAAAATTTGGCCAGGCATGATGGTTCACACCTGTACTGCCAGCATTTTGGGAGGTCAAGGTGGGTGGATCCCGAGGTCAGGAGATTGAGACCATCGTGGGCAACATGGTAAAACCCCCATCTCTACTAAAAATACAAAAAAGTAGCTGGGCATGGTGGCCGGCGCTTGTAGCTGAGACAGGAGAATCACTTGAAACTAAGAGGAAGAAGTTGCAGCAAGTCAAGATTGCGTCCTGCACTCTAGCCTGGGTGACAAAGTGAGTTTCTGTCTCAAAAAAAAAAAACAAAAAAGGTCGTGGTGTCCAGTTCCCAGATTAAGTCAGCAATTTAATGACAGCAGCCATTGCGCCAATACTGCTACCGCCAGAGAATAACAGCTGCGCGTGTGTGTTTCAAGGTGGGAATCTCAGGGAAACCCTCCACTGTAACCTGAGAATGTCAGTCTCCATATGAGAACCGAGATCTTCTTGGTAAGAAAAGCTCCTGCAGAGCAGCGCACGGGGGTTCAAGCTACCCACCCTTTGCTGGGGGAGCTTTGGCCAGTGATGGGCCACCCCCACACTGAAAACTAAAGCAAAGTCATAGTGCCTGCAGCTCCTGGCTGCAACACATACAGAACACCATGGCATGAAGTGCCTGGCGCCAAAGGTCTTGGCAAGTCAGCGGTTACAGAAACTGCTAGCTGATGGACCCGGCGCGGTGGCTGCAGAAGCCTGTAAATCCAGCACTTTGGGAGGCCGAGACGGCGCCCGGATCCAGAGGTCAGGAGATCGAAGCACCATCCTGGCTAACACGGTGAAACCCCGTCTCTACTAAAAATCACACAAAAAACTAGCCGGCCCGAGGTGGCGGGGCGCTCTGTAGTTCCAGCTTACTCGGGAGGCCTGAGGCAGGAGAATGGCGTGAACCTGGGAGGCGGAGCTTGCAGTGAGCTGACATCCAGCCACTGCACTCCAGCCTGGGTGACAGAGCAAGACTCCGTCTCAAAAAAAAAAAAAAAAAAAAAGAAACTGTAGCTGCTATTGTTGTTGTTAAGGGGGTGATAGTGTCACCCACAGATTGTCCCCTGCCTATGAAGCTTCCCAAGCCTTGGGCTTTCTCAACCTCTGATGGCACCACGTCCTGCCAATGAGTGGCAGAATAGGGAGGTGAGTAGGACAGAATCCAGGATTGAGGTGGGGAGAGGATGGAGTGGGAGGGAGGAAAGGGTGGGAGAGATTTGGAGGGAAAAGTCCATGCGGCCAGGCACAGTGGTTCACCCCTGTAATCCCAGCACTTTGGGAGGCTGAGGCAGGCGGATCACAAGGTCAGACATTTGAGACCAGCCTGGACAACATGACGAAATCCTGTCTCTACTAAATACAAAAATTAGCCAGTCATAGTGGTGGGCACCTGTAATCCCAGCTACTTGGGAGGCTGAGGCAGGAGAATTGATTGAACCCAGGAGGCGGAGGTTGTAGTAAGCCCAGGTTGCACCATTGCATTGTAGCCTGGGTGACAGAATGATACTCCATCTCAAAAAAAATAAATTAATGTCTGTAAAGTGTTGAGAAACAGGCTGGCATAGCATGCATGCTTCAGGAGCATCTGCCGTTACTAGCAGCTATGAATGGAGGTTTTTCTTCTGAAGAGTAAACGGACACCACAGGTT